ACTGGAATGTTCCTTGACGATTCGACTCTTATGACATGGTGCATTATCCTGTTAGTAAACACCATCCCCTGCAGGAAAAACTGTTGCCATGAATAGGTGAACCTGGTCTGCAACTATGTTCAAGTAGCTTACAGACTTCAGGGATTGTTTTATGAGGATTATGGGTCCTAATGTGCCCCATGAAAACCTGGGCGAGCCCATTGTTATAAATGGAGGGTAGTCATAAGGTAATGGCTCTTCGGTGTATGTATATACACTGCGACTAATAAGTTCTCAAACACTTACAAATTTTCATTATTATGCTATTAAATCAATCATACAAAAAAGTTTTGCATGAAATTAAAATATCAATCTTTGAGTACCTTTACAATAAAGGCTTTGGAATAATATTTATTTTACTTTATTAACAAGCTTGAGTCTCTTTTCAAACCATCACATCTGGCATGTAATGCTTCCATTGACATTTTCTGCCGTACTTTTTTAATTACACTTTTGAGTTTGTTGAAATTGATGATTTTATAATTATTTAACTGGGAGGGCATATATGATACAAAAAAATATTGAAACGGGTTTAGATGTGTTGAGTTGGGGGACATTAAGAGAACAAAATGTCAGCTAAATGTTTGCTGCAGCACTCCTCAACTGCACGTGCGGTATGAGAAGGAGCACCATCTTGTTAGAAGCAGAAATATTCCACTCATACATACTCTGAACACTTATGAGTAAAACTGTTTCAAAAACCTCAGTTTTATGATATTGGTCATTTATTTTTACTCCTTTTTTAATAAAAACTAACCAGAGTTTGCCTGTCTTTAAAATAGCTCCCAAACCATCACAGACAAAGCATTTTGATAAAACGGAACACAATTCTAGATCTCACGGATGTTATGAATAGAAACTGACCATATTCTACCATTTTGGAGGTTAAGACTTTGCTGTAAAACGAAAATGTTCTAGTCTGAAAAGAAAAACTTATCCTCAGCATGCCAGGCAAGCATTTTGTGCACCCTTTGCTTTCTTCTCATTTAAGTAAACTTTGAAAGTCCAAATTTTTACTTTTTCTGTAAGCTTTGCATCCAAGGTCCTTTCTCAGAATGACTTTGATCACAGTAATATTTTGAGCTCGCTTGATAGATTTCTAGCAGAGCTTTGTTTGTTTCGTTGTATCCTTTTCTTGACATTTTTCACAATCTCTTTTGTCAGAACAGACGGCTGTCTGCCAATGAAATCTCTCTTCACCTCATGACTTTCAAGTCTCTGAAAATTTTGCCTGGCTACTCTCCTTTGATGAATTTATTCATCAGGATTTTTCCAATTTTCTTCATTCTACTTAGATAAAGAAAAATTATAAGTAGTACAACATTTAAACTTGTAATAGCTTTCATATACGTTGTACAAAATAGTCCGAAAAAAATTGGGACTTCTGTAACAAATATATACATTTTTTAGACGTGTTTTAAAAATTGTAGGAAAATTTATTGATCACAGTGTGTAATATATACAATCGGACCTCTATTTAATAAAGTTGCAAAATCACGATAAAAAGAACAATTAAACAACACAAAATAAGATTGAATCCGATTAAACGAAACAGGTTTTAAATACATAGACACTTAACATAATTAAAATAGCAATAAATGCACCCTTATCTTGCAAATTACTCTCTACTGTCGAATTGTTTCAAATGATTTTATCATATGAAGGTTTGGTGATTTTCTCATTATTTTGGTCTTCATCTTCGTCACAATTTATTGCTGTGTTTTTATTTTTCCCCACTGTCCAAAATATCAGATTCAGTTAATGTTTCTGTGGTTGCAGCTTCAGAATCAATAAAAAGAAAATTATTAATCAGTACATCATTAATTTCGTGGTTCTCTCTTAGCTGTACCAATATGTTTTTAAGTCCTCCATACTTTCCAAATTCTCTGCACTGAATAAGAATTCAGCTTTAGCAAAACTGCTAAAAATAGTATGATCTACATCATAGTTCCATGCTTTAGAAATTTCTGTTATGCTTTCTTGTAAATTGATTTTTGGCATGGATTCCTGTATGAAATGCAAACAAAAAGGGTAAGGAATTTTACTGCTTTCTTTAAAAGTGGCAGCAAAAAGCAATTCAAGGTCATTCACCCCATAAAAGGCGTTATAAAGTTTGAAATGTTCTGAAATATTTTGGAATAGGGAAAGTGGATCTTAAAGAAAAGTTTGCTAAATAGAAAATTCACTTCGCTCTTTAAAAGTTTTTTATAAAGAAATTTCCAAAATGTTCTTCCAAATAAATTGCAAAATGGAAGTCCGACTGTATATGTATTGAAATTCTAAATTAACACGCAACTGGTTGTATAAACATTTTTATTTTTTTTAATACACTCCATTCATGTGCTACATATTGCAATAAAATATTTTTCTTATACAATATTTTTTTTTTAAATATTAATAAATTTAGAATTCACAACTGCTCATATACAGTGTTTTCACAACAAAACACTATGCCTTCTTCGCTATATTAACATTGTCAAAAACTACAAAGCTGAAGTTTAAGAAAGTATACTTCATTTTATATCAGATTCAGTTTTAAAATTGTACTTACTGTTAACATTTTTCAATTTTTTATGTCATACCATATTTACTACAGTCAAGGCTGGACATAATGACCCCTGTTGTCCAAGTGAAAACAAAAAAATAATCACAAATGAAGTTGTAAGTGTACAAAATTAGCATAAATATTCATTCAAATGCTGGTCTAGTTTGAATAAAATGATGCTATACTTCAAAAGAAAAACGAATCTCACAAAATAATTGATAATATTGCAACACATTAAAAATAACATGTGAGCAATCATTTTCATTAAACAACATACATCTAGAAGACAACAAATTTAAGACGAATGTGAATCCTATAGGTTTTAATTTGAAAATAAGTCATCCAATGAGACAAATATTTCACGAAAATGCGACTCAAAAATGTATTTATGTCTTTTGAAAAGAATTTGCTAAGATTGGGAATGCTTAATTTTAAATCTAATGAATTAGGGCTCCCACGGGTCAGGAAGAACAGGGAAAACCTGGAATTGTCAGGAAATTTTATTTAACTCTAAAAAGCAGGGAAAGTTGCAATTTTTTCCAAGTACCTGGAAAATTCTTACATTATACCTGTGAAATAACCAGTCTCAGAATTGTCAGTAACAGTAATCAGTTATTGAAATTAAAAATTAAATAATTCTTACATATATTACAATTATTTATTATAAAAATTTCACATTTTAGTGCTACTTCTTTGTTTCCATCCTCATTCAATATATTTTTGCTCACAAAATCTAATATTTAACATTACAAATAAAACAAGTTTTCTGATAAAAAAAAATGCATGGTATAGATAAAATATTGCCTGCATTTTCAATGAAGTCTCCCTGATTATACCTGGAAAAGTCGAGTAGTAGTTTTTTCTTTCTGAAATTGAGTGGGAACCCTGTGAATGCATACCAGACATTGTGCCAATATTTGTATAAAGGTGCAATATTTTATTTTGATTAACAATTATGCTTAGAAATCTATATTTCACTAACTTATTTACTGCAGCTCCTAGGATAAATAACTAGGAATCTTGTTACTCTTCATATATACAAAATTAATTCAAGATGTTTCACAATAAATGTGAGATAACATCAAAAGAATAGTGGTTTAAGTAATTTCTTTACTATCAAATGACTAATTGTCAATTGAAGCTTTCTATTTTGAAAGAGCAAAAATGCTTAACACTTGTTTCTTAAATGTTTTTATCTAAAATTAAAAATAAAAGAGTTTGGTATTGGAATGAAGGGCATAGTTTGGGCACAAAAATAACACTTTGTCTATAGAAAAGCAAACAGATCTTTATGCATTTTTAATTGTAATTTGGGGTCATTCTAAAAAACGTAGACTAGTTATTTTAAGAATTAAACCATTGCTGTTCTAAAATAATAAACCTAATATTTTTATTGAAAGAAATACTAATTGGAATTTTACGAAAACTAGTTTTTAAAACATTATGTAATTTTATTTTTTTTTAAATTCTAAATCATTCATTATATTGAAAGATTTAGAATAGAAATAGACGCTTGAATAGAAATTTTTAATTCTAAACATTTAAAGTTCATTTATTTCTTAAAACAATAGGAATCTTGTTGTAACAAATGTACTCAAAATAGCTTCTAAAATGTAATATTTTACTAATTCTAGCTTTTCAAAATATATTCACAATTTTAAAAGCACTACAAGTACTATTATGGAAATATCATTTGTGATATCATGTTTACATATTAATACCACCGCTTCCAAATCACTGCAATTCACAGTGATTAAATATTAGCTCAGAAAAAAGAAACTTAATATTGATTAATTATAAGTTTCAATATTGTGCCAAGATGTGTGTATGTTGTGTATCAAACTGTTTCATACTTTTGTAATATTAATAAAATTTGATTTAAAAACATTGTTTCTACAACAGACAGAACAAACTATCGAATTCAAACGACATTAATCAGGGTACGTAGCCAGATTTTTCAACAAAAAATAAACACCTTTTAAGTACTTTTTAAGCACTTAAAAATATTTTTAATCACTTTCGAGAAAAAAATTATTTTTTTCTATCGTTTAAAGTTTTTAATTTATAAACATAAAATCAATAAAATTAAAAAAACTTTACATAATCATGATAGAATTACTAGTTTCTGACAAATAATACAGAGAAAATTGCGAAAATCATGCATTTTTTGTAATTAAGAACGAGAATCGTCACGGCAAAGAAAAAATCTCTTTTCAAAAAATAGGAAATTAAAGCACTTTTTACAAATCCAGAATAAGAACTTTTTAAAAACGCTGCACACCCTGTTAATTAATTATTCTATTTAAGTGGCAATATATTAATTTTGTTTTGGGTGTAAATCAAACATTACCCCAAAAGAATATATAAAAATGAATTTATCATTTTCACATATGTAATGCACTAAGGAGAAAACATATGGAGTTATTTAAATTAGAGTTGTACCTCTTATTTATTATCTGACACTGATTTACAATAAAAGAAATAGATAAAAAATATGCAAATTTACTTTAGTAAACATCAATACAAAAGCAAAACATACACAAGCATAGATAAACAGACAAGCAAGCACAGTGTTTTCAGATGGAAACATGACTAAAAGTGTCCAATAAAATTTGATTATTAGATTATAACAACAATAAACTTATATGTGAAGTTGGAAAAAAGAAACTACTTTTTACAAAATTTTTAAAAAAGGAAACATGTTTTATAGAATTGCAGGCATTATAAAGATAGTTAATTTTTAAACTTCATAACAAAATTAATATTACAGCTCATTAAAGTAATTTACTTAAAATTTGAGTGATAAAGTAATTTAAATTATACATTTGGATAATTATAACAAATTGATCATTAAAGTAATTTACTTAAAATTTGAGTGATAAAATAATTTAAATTATACATTTGGATAATTATAACAAATTGAAAGTATAAACACTAAATTTTTTTTTTCCATTGAATAAAAATAATCAACTGATTTAAAAACTAAATCATTACAAAAAAATTTCCACAGCACAACTGTTTAAATAATATTTATAAAAATAAACAAAAACATAGAATTTCTAGACAATTTCACAAACCAAAAAAATATATAAACTCATATTCATATCAAAATATGATTACAAATGTAAAATAAGCAATAAAAATAAAACTTGCAGTTAAATTAAATTTCATTTAATTCACCTTCTTAACAAACATTCACTCATAAAATGTACCAAAAGCACAAAATAAATATAAAATTAAAATTGGAATACAATTTTAATTTTATATTTATTATCTACATTCCTATTCTATGTATATATAAATGTAATTAAAACCTAGCTACAAGTTAAACAACCAAAAAATTCAAATATTTTAATTTTGAAATTTTATCGAATGGAAACACATTTAAATTCATTAATGTGGCTTAATTCAAAAATTTTGAATTTAATTTCTTTCATAAAGTGACTAACTATAATCTTTTCACAATTTTTTTTATGTAATGAGTATTTGAATTTATTTAAAATATTTTGTGCAGATTATAAGATAAGCATAGAGAGTTTTAGTGTAACAATTTTATCAAAATACAAAATAAAAAATCTAGAATTTTTATACAATTGTATAATATTTTGATTGATTATTTTGAAAAGATTTTATATACTTTAAAATAACAATCCATACAAATGTCATGTTCAATAATGGACTGAATGTATTTGCACAGCAAATATCTTGAAAATGGCTATTAAACATTAAATACCAAAGATTTAAATAATTCAATAAAATCACAAACTTTCTGTAAAACTATGAAATAACATTATGAAAGGCTGATTTCTTAACACAAAGTAATACAAGTATTGAAATATAACGTGCATAAAAACGTCATTCTGGTGCTTCATATTTGTACTGCGAATTTTGGCAAAAAGTTCAATGTATAAGAAACATAAGAATCAAAACTTAACAACGTGTCAAAATATGCAAATTTAGAAAAGTTTGTAAACAATCAAAATATACAAATGCAAGTTATTTATGATATAATTCATATCTGTATGATGATGCACAATGATTTACATTACAAGACACCAGGATTTAGCAAGATAAAGTGATAAAAAAATTTCCTAATAGCTATTTTTTTAAGTTCTTTTACAAAATTGAGCTAAGACTTTCTTTTTATATATACAGGTGGTAATCATAAATTCTTCTGAGCATGTTCCTTCTCTTCTTGATCCTAACAAAATAGAATAAGTTGTTTTTACCTTCATAATTAAAAAAAAAGTTTCTGTCAATTTTTTATGTAAAGAACTGATTACATACTTCTCTCTATTACCTAATTTGCATTTACCTCAGAAAAGCATTAAATAATTTTCATTCTAATGTTTAAAGCACGTGAAAAAGTGACAGTTTAGCACAGGAAAATGGCAATACTTCCTAATGTATAGAGTGCCGTTTTGAGCTGGTATGTTTTAAGGTACTACTTCGTTTCATTATCTTTACCTGAACTTATGAAATTATCTGTAATCATTTGCTTAATTGTTTAATTTTGAATCCTAGAAACTTTCAGATGTTTTAAAAATAATAAATGCTAAAGAATGTAATTTTTTTGTCCTTGCTCTTGTCACTTAAAGAAAGTAACAATTTAATTTAAATAGTTTAAAGTTTCTATATTTTTCCCGTTCGTAAAATTATTTCTATGTTGTAAATAAATACATATTTATATGCTTATCATACACCATTCATTCTTTTAAACAGATGGAGCAATATTTTATTTTTATTTCGTATTTTTTAATTAGTAGAAACTCTCCAGCATGGCAGTAGGTGCTGCAGATTATAACAGCATCTGCAGATTATTTTTCATTTTTTATTCTATTTCTGCAGATTTTTATTTAATTTTTGAGAAAAACAATATAAAGTTTTAGCGAAATTCACATCTAATTGAATGTGCTAATATTAATCACATTTTTGGGATAGTAAGCTGTGGCTTTCTTTATTTACAAGAATCTATCTATAGAGTTGATCTTAAATAATCACAATTTGATTCACGGTCATGCAATAATAAAGGTGCTGCAAAACTTACATTAGTGATTAAAATATAATCATTGGTGATCAATGATTACAATCTTCAATAATCATAGGATATTTATTGTAAAACATATTATTCACGATATTACTTTTTAAAAAATTGTTTTTAAAATGTTTTAAAAATTTTGATATTTCATGATGCATTACTTGGCTCTATTACATTTATCACATAATATACTTAATAACTGATACTTACCCATTCATCTGGGTCTACTCCTTCAAATTCTTCTTGTGGTAAGCTGTTCTGTCGAAGCTCACATTGAGAAGACATAGACTGCATAATCTAAAAAAAATGTTTACTTTTATAAAAGACATATGAACAATGCAACAAAAAGTATAGAATTTAAAGAAAGTATTAAAAAAATAAATAGCCGTTCCACAAATAAACTTACTTTTTCCTCCTTCTCTTTGGTATTTTGTAAAAATGCTAAGGAACTCTGTAAATGGACTTCACCTTCAAACACAATGTTAGGTGTTGTATTACCAGATTGTTTATTACTTGAAGCTTTAACTGGTGGTGGAGCTTCACTCACTAAAAAGATAAAATAGTTTGCATAAAAATAACTATTTAGATATAAATTTATTAGCAGTAAATGGAAAAACAAACTTTAAACAGATGATAAAAATAAAATATTGCTATATCTTACAAAGTTCCATATCTTCTGGTTTTAAATCGACAATTTCCAAAGGCTTCTCCTGGCCAGCAAACCATTCAGCATTGGTCATTGAAGGTTCCCAAGTTTTACGGGTCGGTGGGAAAAGATCATCTTGAAAATATTCAGACTAGTAAAAAAAAAAAAAATTCAGAAAAATTCCCAGACTATGCCAGGTATTTCAGGAAAATTTCAATGTAAATCCAGACCATATTTTATCTAAACCATGCAATTTTTCATCAGACAACTTAGATTTTTTTCATTTGTAATGTCAAACATTAGATTTTGTGAGCAAAAATATATAATAGAATGACAATGGAAACATAAAAAAGTTTCACTAAAAAGTAGAATTTTTATAAAATAATTATAAGAGATTTTTAAATTTAATCTCAATAACAGATTACTGCTACTGGCAATTCTAAGACTGGTTATTTTTCAGATTTTTGCTTTTAAAAAATATTCAATTTTTCCTGACTATTTCCTGTTAAAACCAGGTTTTCCCTGTTCTCCCTCACCCGTGGGAGCCTTAATAAATTCAAAAATACAGTTTTTAAGAAAGTGATGTTTTATGTATAGATTCTTTTAACTTAAAGTAGTACTAACAAATTTTTATGTAGTATAATTTGAATGTTTACTTAATTTGTAAATGAAACATGAAAGCCTTATTGTTAATTTTATATTATGTACTATAACAAATATGCTAATTATACAATTAAATGTTACTATAAAATACAAATATAAATTAAATGTTATTAATAATATGTTTAATTAACTAAATGTTTAAATGAGATAAAAGTAAAAGCTTGATTTTTATTTATATCAAGTCAGATTTTAAGTTAAGTGCAATGCATATATCTTTGTCTCTTTACAATTTTCCATAACTTAATTATTCTGAAAAATGTATTTTTAAGTAATTATTTATTCATACTTACTTAATTTTTGGAGCGGTATTTTTATATTCATTATAATATATTTAATTTTTATATTTGAGTAGCATAAGAGCAAAATCTGCAAACTACTATGAAGAAAAAGCGTGGAAAATCAAAAAAATATAATAACAAGCTGCAAATTTACATGTTTTATGCATGGAATAAAACATATTATATTGTAACATAATATTGCCTCTAAAAATATAGTGAAATTAGTATTTTTTTCATATATTTAACTTAATTCTAGTTTTTTCAACAGTATTGTCAAAAGCGGTATTTTCTCAAAGAAACTGGAACTTTTTAGGGTATGAAACCAGTAAAAGTTTCAAACAAAAACACTTTTAAATAAGATGAAAAACAGAATATCCTAAATATTTTTTGATCTAAAGATCATTGGAAAATCTAGTCCAAATAGTTTAACTAGGAAAGAGTTTGAGGCTTTTACTGTTGCATATATCATCATATCTCTAGAACTATCTAAGTGAATCACAAAATGTTAGCTCACAATTATAAAAATCACTAATTTAAAAGTAATTTTTAATAATTATTTAATCAAATACTAATTTAAACATTTTTGATTTGTACGGTAAACCAATTTTTACATTGCACTTTTTGCATGTGGCATTTTACATTGCAAGATTATTTCTTCCTTATAAAAATCTTATATGAACTGTAGCATTACTTTATATATATGTTTTGAGGGATTAATTTATGATGCAATCACACATGCCTACTTTTAATTTGGGCAACCCTTATAACAACATTATAAATTTGAAACAATATTAATTTTTTATAATACTGTTAGCTACCAAATATAAATTATTAAAAAAAATATTTTGAAAAAATTTTCATATTTATTATTTAAGAAATTAAATTTAATATTTTTAAAATTATTACACAGTTAAAATGTTTAATTTATGCTATATTTTTATTTGATTTAAAACTTTCAAAAAAGTAGCAGGAAAAAAAGCAAAATGCAATTTTTAATAAATATCTCACCCTTAATCTTGGTACATGGAATGAAATAGGTTCAATAGTAGATGCTGAAAGGCGTATGGCCCTTGCAAATTCAACTTCTCTCACTTTACAGACACATTTATGGAGGAAAGAAAGTGACTGATGAGGATTGTTACATTTATAATGTGAAAGGGGATGAAAGTATGGACTATCTATAGCTATTTCATAAGCAAATATCACCGAATCTCCCTGAAAAATATAATTATATATGCTTAAAATTACAAGGAAAATATGCTACAATTTTTTTAGAAAATTAAAACTTTACATTTAAATTTTATAAAATAAAAGGAAAATAATACAACATATAATAAAAATTGAACTGTATAAAGCAATGCAGCCTAATTTAATACAAGTACTATCAAAAGTACAGTAGGCCAATATAGCCTGCTTGGGATCGTATTCGTGAGATTGCTAGTCTGAATTCCAGAGGCCGAAGAAACCCCGCAAATTAAATGGAGACTGGTGCACATTATATCGATGTCACTAAGTCCTTTAAGTTCCCTTATTCAGAATTGGAGATTGATCTTCTCTGGTTCAGGTCAAAATTACAAACTGTGGATGAATGAATGGGTTTTCCCTGTAAAACAGGGTGTGACGTGTGTGTGGTTGAAGATAATGTCACTGAAAAACAAGAAACGCAACCCTCTATCTTAAATTCGCTTGGTTTCCCATAGCAAGACTTACTGGTAATGGCAAGTGACATAAGAAGCAACATCATGAATGCTGAAACATTACCATCTCGATTTTAACTAACCAAGATAAATGTTTAAAAAAATTATACATCTTTGATGATGACGTGTTATTAAAATTGCTTATTTCAACTTTTTGACTTGTGTTTTACATTTTGTTTAGTATAGTATGTAATTACTTACTTTTCCAGTCAAAAACAGTGTCGAACTATCCTCATCATAATTGGGAATTAATGTTGCAGGACTAACATCTATGCCAACTGATCCAATAGGATTAGCTATATCTTTGCAATCATATAAATAAATCTGTCTTTCAGACACTCTGTAAAATAATAAAAATTTTTAAATGACAAGCTAGTAAGATACTCTGTAAAAATAATAATTTTTAAATGACAAGCTAGTAAGCTACTCTGAAAAATAATAATAATTTTAAATTATAAACAAGTAAGCTACTCTGTATAATGATTTTAAAGTGATGAGCTAGTAAGGTTTTCGGCAAAATAATATTAATTTTTAAATAAGCTTGTAAGCTAAGGGTAATAAAATAGAATAAATCTAGATGTAATTGAATTCTGAGAATTTGTATAAGTATAAACATTGTTCCACAGTTGTCAAATTTTATAAAAATTCTTTGAACTTAGTGAAAAAGTGAAACTATAACCAGCAAAAACACATCATGGAAATAGGTGAGCTATGGCCTCCTCTCATGCATTCTTCAGAAAAATTGAAAATTCATAGAATTCTTAATACATTTTGCTAAAACGAGGATAAAAATTGTAAAAATGAACTGTTGTTACATATGGCTAGCTGGAATTTTAATCCATGGAGATCAAGCAGTTCAATGTCTCACAAAGGAAAAAGGAACAGTAGACGAAAAAATAAACTACTTTACTTATTTTGAACTCTTTTTTTTTATTATTATTTTCTTGAATTTTAATTATTTTTTACATTGTTTGGCTCATTCTTATATGTTCATTTATTTTTATGTGTTTTGTCCCTTCTAAAAAGAGAAAGATTATAAACAATTGACTTAATAATAGTCTGCTTTAGAAGCTACTCAGGTATTTTCCAATATACACTTATTTCTTAAGTATTGGTAAAAGCAAATGTGAAGTAAATATCAGCCTAGGAATATTTCCCTAACAGGGTAAGGGGCAGTTGATTAACAATTAGGATTTTAGTAATACCTATTTTCTAACATCATCCCTTTTCCTAAATATATTCACCTATAAGTTTTCAGGGAATTTTCTTTTTTCCATTTTAGATAAGATAATTAATTTAAAATTAAACTTTAATTTTTAAAGAAATTTTTTTCTACGTTCCTTAGAAAATAGGATTATTAAAGATATTGAAAATAGGATTATTAAAGATATTGAAAAGAAAAGTAGCTTACTATGAATGCATTGATAACTTTAATCTAAGTTAAAATTGTTCTACATCGTAAAAAATATGTAAAAGCTTGCAACTGTTTCATAATCTCTTATTGTGTGATCATAACGTTTTTTTTTTTAAAAAAAACACAAAGAAAGAAAAGGAAACTTTTGTGATTGACAGCTCAGTTTTGTTTGAGCTCGCCTAACAATGCTACACCAGCGTAGTAAATTTTGCACTCGTATACTTTAAACAACTCTCCAGAGAAATTCTCAAACAACTTTCTCAAAACGAATCTCAAGCTTTGAGACAAATTAACTATTAATAAATAACTAAGCATTACTGATTAATAATATTATCACTCACTTGCTAAATCCAGTTACAGCTAAATGAGTACCATTTAAGACCCAGACAACTCTTGCTCCTCTTGTGCCTTGAGGTCCAGATCCTTCTTTTATAGCTTCAGTTGAGCTACGTGGGTCAAAAATTCGCACTCTTTGATCTTTGGCAACTGAAGCAATGAAGTGTCCATCTGGACACCAACAAAAATTCAAAATCTAAAATTAAATTGTATTAATGTTAAAATTATGTAATTATAAACATTATTATCAGTAATATTAAATAATGTTTCTTTTTCTTAAATGACAATGAATTTTGCAAGTAATTTGCTCTTTTCTTCCTCCCTCTTAAAAATAGAATAGATAGACAGAAAAGTAATTATTCAAAATATTTTTTGATTTAGTGATCAGATTTTTAAGAAATAAAACACAATTTTCATGATTCTATAAACAAGCCTTAAAATACACTAATTAATAAGTGTTGTTAAAAAAGGTTTTGAAACCAAACAGCTATTGAAGTTTTGAAAGATTAAAAAAAAAGAAATATTATCTTCTTTCATTTAACAGCTTTAGATTTTTTTTCTTTTTAATACATTTAAATACAGTTTTGAGAGGGTGGTATGAGTTGAGCCCCAGACTATTTTTCACTATCTTTGAATAGAACAAAAAATAAAAAGACTGTTGCTAAATAGTTTCAAAATATCTCAGTATAAATTTAGAGTTGTTTTTCAAAAGTTTGAAAATAACATTAAAATCAAGAAAACTGGCATAACTAACCTGGTCTATATGGCCAGTGAGACAAATTTTCTCTTCTTGGGTCTCCAAATCCCATACTTTAATTGTAAGATCAGCAGATGCAGTGGAAATGACATCTTTGGCACAAGGATGGAACTTGACTATGTTCACTTTTTCAGAATGTGCTCTAAATGACATGGATGGTTCTTCAAGTTTTTGTGTTAGGCCATCCGTTGGCAAAACCCATAATTGAATGTCACCAGTATCACACCCTAAATGTTATAAGATTAAAATAATTAAGAATGCTGAAAATTCAAATGAATAGGACAAATAAGGTAATCCAAGAAAATGCAGATAATTTTCAAAATTAAAGGTTGCCATAAATCTATATAAAAATAGATTCATGTGTTCTGCCTGATGGGTGATATTTTCATTGTGATTAGTAATAGGTGGTATTATTTAAACAGTTGGTGACATGATTGAAATTTAACTCTAGATAACTAAACATTCATCCGAAAGACAACTGGCCTTATCTACCTTTAAAAAGTTGAAATGTTATGTTATTCAAGTATTCCAAATGTTCAATTTTATTATTTATCTGCAATTAATAAAAATTTAGGAATATTTTCCCGAAGTCTCCACTTAATTTTTGGCATAAAAATAAGTACATTTTTTATTTGTAGTCTAAGAGTTAAATTAGTAACACTGATTTAAGTTTAGTTATCTAGATGGAACTTAAGAGCAAACAATAAAATATATATATATATATATATTTTGAAATNAATATACAGTACGACCTCGAAAATCCGGACTTCTGAAATCCGGAAATCTCTAAAATCTGGACTCATACGTCCAGTTCCTCAAAAAAAAAATTTCAAAAGAAAAAATTTTAAAAAAATGGCTTAAAATAAAAATTTTAATGCAAAACCACAACTCTTCTCCAACAATGAAGCAGTAGATGAAGAGGTAGAGGTGGGGTGTGAATGACAGCTCATAGCTGATTAGGCAATTCCAGTCATTCTTATCAGCTCTGTATGGATAACAAAGAATATAAAGGGAAATCCCCTCCTCCTGAAGGGGAATCCCACAACTCTTTTGCAACAATGAAGCAGTAAATGAAGAGGTAGAGGTGGGGAATGAATGAAAGCTCATAGCTGATAAGGAAATTCCAGTCATTCTTATCAGCTCTGTATGGATAACAAAGAATATAAAGGGGAATCCCCCTCCTTCTGAAGGGGAATCACCTCAGAAGGAGGAATTCTTTCATTTCCTTGTTTTTCCCCCTTGTGATGGAAGAAAACTGGTTCTTTCTTAACCTTGAAGCTTAGGAAGCAGGGACAAGTTCTTTCATCCCCCAACAAAAAAAGGATTAGTATCAGCTGGTACAGTCTAGTCTAGAAGCATCTGTTTCGGTTATAAGTTGAAATTCACCTCGCGTTTTAAGCCTATATTTTTAGTTTTAATTGCTAATGTTATGTTATCTAAACGATCGATTGCGGGGGAAAATGACGAAAGTTTTATTTTTAATGTCTTTTATTTATTATTTAAAGAGTATATTTATGTTAAAATTGACGTCGGAGGTCTACACACGCGTGATTAATCGCGAAATCGGCCTGGCGAATTCGAAACTTCGATAATTCTATCAATTCAAGTAAGGTATCTAAAATCCAGAAATTTCGGAAATCCGGACCTTTCTAAGCCCCCTAGCAGTCCGGATTTTCAAGGTTGCACTGTATATATATATATATATAAAATAAAATATATGGAGAAAAATATAATAAAGATCAATAAAAAGAAAAAACAAATGTTTTTAAAATATTTGGAAAAAAAAACTAAAAAGCCAGAAAATAAAATAATGAAAAGATACAATCTCATGATCAGCTCAAACGATTATGTCCGTAAAAAGGGGTGCTTTCTAATATTGTACTAATATAGTCAAAGCAAAATATATCAATACAATAGTGTGAGAAGAACCCAAAAAATTTAAACTAAAATAGAACATATTGAGTAAAAAAAGATACGAAATAAAACAAATCAAGCAAATATAGAGAATAAAATGAAAAAAAAAAAAAAACAGAATAAAATAAAAATGTAATCTATAAAGCGAGTAGCAAAAAAATATAAACTTACACATTCCGGTATCATTCAAAAATGATTTAAAATATTTTCTTAACAAGTTTGTAGATTACAAAACATGAAAATAGTAGCGTAAATAGAGCGATCTTTTTATGGCACACTCTTATTGCATTACTGAAGCACGTTTGATTTGTTAGTTACCTTGGATTGGGCCGAAAATGGATGTGCACAAGGTAATATTATACTGGATAATTTAAAGTTTATAATTAATAAGGTTTATTTTTAACTATACAATTTCAATGATTTTAGCAAAATTATTAATATTTTTTAAAATAAAACACAATTTGCCCGATTTTTACAAATTTTTAGCCACCAATTTGCTTGAATTGGATTTGCACATGGTAAAAATATCAATTTAGTTTTTTAAAAAAAGAAGTTTTTAGTAAAGTAATTACATTATTTGAGTATCCATTGTTTGTTTTTTTAATCAAATTTTGAAAAAGTAATTCTCAAATAACCTCTCTGTCTCATTTAAATCTTCTCATATTTTTATCAAATTGTGAAAAAGTAATTCTCAAATAACCTCTCTGTCTCATTTAAATCTTCTCATATTTTTATCAAATTTTGAAAAGTAATAATCTGTTTTTTGGATAAATATTATTACATATCGCTACATGTTATTTTAATTCCATTTCTTTGGTTAAAAATGGTATTTAAATAAATGCTTTTAGAAAAATTAGAATTCCAAGTAATTTCTTTATACTAAAATCATTTATTTTATCGTATAAAACAACAATGCAGATATTTTCTTCTTTTTTCCATACCTAAATCCAAAAATTTTAAATTAATATTTTCATCATGATTACGAAGCAAGATTAATTCCTCGAGTCAAATATTATTAAACAAAATTGTACATTGAAAATTAAATCATCAATAAATCTAAAATAATTTAATATTGAGAGTATAAATTTTTTCATAGTAGTGTAAAAATAAGTAAGCTAAGAGAGATGAAAAATTACATATAAATCTATACACAAATTACCAAAAAACAACTAGCACAACAGTGCACCAAAGATAGTTAAATTCCTTGTATTGCCCTCATAATCATATAAAAAATTTTCTTAAATACAAGAATTAAAAGTAAAAATTCATAATGATGATTTATCTCAATTCTAAGGAAAATGCCATATGATAATTTATTAAAAGATAAATAATTGATAAATACTTTTAATTAACAATATTAGTGAAATTAGGAGTACTAAAAATAACTGACCAACAGCAAGACGACTAGAATCGAAAGGGTCCCATGCAAAATCCATAATACTTGTTCCAGTTAAAACACCTGGCAAATCAGCAGCTGCTGGGGCACGACCAGTTTTTTCTAACTGTTGGACAAAAAGATAAATATTAGAAATCATTCCGAGTGATGATTAAATAGCTTATAAATAAAGTATGTATTTTATAGCACCTTTCTCATATTCAAATGATAGTCTCCTTTTTTGAATTAAAAAAATTATAAATGGTTCTAAAAGCATGAGAAGTTAAAAGTAGAAATTATGTGTTACAACTGTCCTTATGCCATAAAAACATGATTGAATACCTAATTTTGGAATAAGTCCATTTGATAAAATAAGGGTTTCAAATAAAAACTGAAAACAAGAGAAGATATAAGAAATTATGGTAGGCATGGAAAAATCTTCCATAAATAACAATTCAACTCCACAATGACATTCTCACATCAAAATGAACTCTGCATAAGTACAAAGCTTCTTATGGTAGCAAAGCAGTAAATGCATATTAAATTAAGAAATGTTTTTTCTCTACTGAAATTAGTATTTTTCTAATCATTAACAGACATACCAAAATCTACATAATGGATTTACACTGTTTTATTATGCATACTTCATGTTTATATATTATCTATCAGATTAAAATTTTAGTAAGAGAAAATGATTTTTGGAAACTTTTAAATTCAATCTAATATTGTTAGAATTATTATATCCAAACTCCATAAAAAAATTTTTAGATACTATATTTACATTGTAATATCATGAAAAACACAATGTTAAAATAGGCTTAATTATTTACTTTTCATGAAATCTATATCATATCAATCTATATAAAAATTAGGCTTAAAACTGTTTGTTTTCATTCCAGAAAATTTAAAAGTCAGTTATCTATTATATCACACATAAAATTGGCATTATTGTCTCAACCATATTTAAAAGCAATAAAAAATACAATTAAAATGAATTTTATTTTACCACTGCAAAATGTGCTAACTTTTATGAATATCTTACTAAAATAACTTCTAAAAAAACTATGCTTTCCTTAAAAATTTAGCATTTGTGATAACTAAATGCATGATTATCTTGAAATAACAAAACATATTGCAAAATACTCACAATATTAAACACAAAATAAAGGGAACTACTAAATATATTATTTAAAGTAATTATTTTTAAAGGTAATGCAGTAATCCATAGTTTAGTAAAAACTTTTTTTTTTTATCAAAAGTAACAAAACTGAGGACAAATAAATATGTTATTCATAAGAACAAATTTAATAATTTTTTTACCTCCATAACAGCTAGGAAATTACCAGGAGCCCCAATTGGAACAGCTACACGTTTTTCATTCGCATCAAACCCATTGCATTCACCAGGAATGGTTCTCGTGAGCGTAGGTAAGTCAGTAATATGGAACTCTTTTGGAAAAATGTTTCCATTCAAATGACGAAACTTTGAAACTCGCACTACAGGAAGAAAAAAAGTTTTTCATTGCACACAAATGTTTTTACGACGTACATTTTCAACACAGCTTAACGAAGTTTTAAAAAAATCTGACATTCAGTTGAATACATATAAAAAGGATTCCTTAGTCCAGGACCACTAAAATCTGACTTGGACCACCGTGAAATAATTATTAGTAATCCTTGATCGAAAGGGATAGTATGCTTTTTTTTTTCACTTTCAGGTTTTGTTTTAACATAGCATATTTCATTTAATTTGAGAACATTACACATGTTCCCATAAGGAAATTTCTTTATTTAAATTCACCTTACTCTTTTTACGTAAAATCTAGTAGAGACCTGTAAACAGACCAGTTAAAATGTGTATGGACTAATAATATCTTTTAGTTACTGGTGCTTTGTACCAATGACTAAATTTTCTTAATTTCTACCCCTTTATATGCATTAAAAACTTTCAATGTACAGCGAGCAAAGCAAAAAAACGGACCATCCTGAATAACTTTTAATCTAATGATGGGATCTTTACATTCTAGAACTCAATCTTAAAATTTTGAAGGTGTGACCTCAAATATGCTAATTAATTAATGCCGACGATATTTAAAGTTATAAAAATCAGACACAAAAACATACTTTCTTTGAATAAATATACCTCTTTGTCGATGGATTTGGTTTTTAACCCTCAAAATATAGGGGGTAGCCGCAATCTGGGAAATATGTTCCCCATAGTTTGGTCAGAAGAGCGATCCAAAGTTCCGAACCCTAAATGTTAATTTTACGTTTTGTTTATTTCTCCATACATCTAGCGATTATTATTCACCGAAACTTATAGCTTCCAAGATTAGTTAATAAAAATTTTAAATGATGTGTCAAGCAATCTTAACTTACTTCCAAATGTACGAGTTGTTCTTCGAACAGAAGGGGATGGCGCCTTTTGAGTTTGATTGTCAGATTTTTCTGCATTATTTCCAAACACTTGTTTTCTAGTTTGGATAAACTTTGAGGGCATAACAGGTGACGTAGACTTTGTGGATGATTCTTCCGAAGATGTTTTGGGTTTCATAGGTGGTGTTGGCTATAAGAATGTAGAAAGAAATAATTAAATGAAACAGTATTTAACATTCAAGAGAAATTCTAATTCAGAACATAAATAATAATTAGCTTAATTTTTTTTATTTACTTGAAATTTTATAATGTATGTTTCAAAAAGGGTAATTAATATATTAATTTAGTTATATCAGCCAAAATATATAACATTCCTCCCTGACCTGATTGCTTCTTTTATATTGTCTAATAAGATATGTTCTAAGATGACCAGATCAATTGAATACGGAGGATGTAGGAAGCTACCTTATTTGTTGCTGTTTGTGACATTGCTGGCTATTTTGCTAACATCTTTGGCCACTGTCTCCACTCCACTGCTGAGTTTGACCAACAAGCATGATAAACGGTAAGCCTTCAGGGTGTGTCAATCACTCCCACAAGTACATTGGATTCTTTCCTTCCAATGCAGTTGAACCAACAATGATAATCACCTTCCAACTCTGCTCTCAATGAAAATGTAGTATCCCGTTGTATCCTCTCATATCTCCTTGTGACTATTTCAATTCAATGGCTAATTCTGTCACATCATGTGAAGTTTTATTGTGTGTGAATCATTTCTGATAGACTAATATATATATATATAT